ACGCCGGGATCTGATCACCCCCAGGATCCACTGTGTCTCAGTCTCTTATTTTTATGCCAGGAACTCTGTCTTTACTTTGGCTCTTCACTTGTTTACTTCAAGATGTTCATTTCAGGGAAACAGACCTAGGTGACTGCCGGTCTGCCCTTACCAAGCTCTAGGCTCGCGGTCTGGCTGTGACCAGGATCTGATATTCCGTCTGCTTTCAGTGTACCTTGCCCTGAATTCTTTCTGCCCCAACCTCAGGAACCAAGTAGGTTCAGATAGTAAAGGGTACCTGGGGCTACTTGTTTACTGAATAAATGAATTAACAACACCCCAACTCTTGAGCAAATGTAAACTTTTCTCTCATCCTTCAAACTCACTTCTCCCTGAAGGCTGCCACAAGTCTCGCATTCTTGTTCTGAGCTCCCTCGTGCAGGATAACTTGTTCACACTCACCAACTTCAAGCCAAGGGAGAGAGTCTGCCTTTCACTTCAGTCCAGTGTGTCCTAACTGCCCACATCCTGCTGTCCTAAGTGCTGCAGATGAATAGAGCTGCTGGTGCACAGGTGACGACTACCCCATAGGCACCTGCTGCAGTTTCACTGGGTCATGTCTACATCTGTAAGGATCTGCTAAGATTTCAATCATCCTAGTGTCAGGAGTGTTAATGGGGCCCTACACAATCCCCTTCCTAACTTAGAGAGGCTCTGTGGCTTTGACTGCTTCTGTTTTCTATCAGGGGTTTGGTGGAGTTGTTTTTGAGGAACCCCTGTGAGCTGGACTGTCACCTTCTTTCTGTCTCGTTCACAAAGATTCTTGGAACTCAGCCCATGTGATAGAAAGATCTTGTGATTTCTGAGCCCAGGACAGTTCCCCTTGCTCTTATTCAGGGATGAATGCAAACATTCAAAACTCCAGCAAACATGCTTAGCATTTACCTGCGGTTCAGCAAAACCAGTCAGCCAGGGTTCAAAGTGAACCTAGACAGGTGGGATTGTGTAAAGCATCCGTTCCTGGTTAATTTGCATGTTCGTCTTTTCAGCTGAATACCTTCTTTTTGCTTTTGAGTGAAAAACAACTGGGGAGAACCATCAGAATTCAGGGGAGATATTCAGAGACAAGAAGAAAAGAAGTTTTACAGGCAAGCCTCATTTTTCTAGACAGCCGTGTAACCTTTAATTCACATGAACACCCACATATCCTTTAAAACCTGCTTTCCCACCACCTTGACAGTTAGAATTTCATCTCCTCCCTGTGGAGATTTCTCTTGAGAGCACAGAGCTGCATCATCTTGACAAACCCCAATGCAAAGCGATGGAGGAGCCTCGCCCTGCCCCATGCTTCAGGGGAAGTTGCTTTAACCAAGTTGCTGTTTGCAGAGGCGATTTTTGTGTCATCACTTCCGATCCATCAAAGTTCATTTAATTCTTTTAAAGGCTGTGCGTAAAAGAAGGGGAAATCTCCTGGTGGCAGCACTGGCTGCTCTGAGCTGGGCAGCTCTGCTGACTCCGAGCCGACCCACAGGCTCTGAGGTGCATCAGAAGGGTTGGCAAGGATGAGCAGGACCCAGGCGCTGTCCCTGGGCTGTGCATTGTCCCTGGCTCCCTTGCTGTAGGTTCTCTGGGAGTCCCTGAGCCCAGGTGGAGCAGCTTCTCACGGGGCTGGAGAGAATGTCTTTCTGTGGTGCTTAGCCTTTAAAATGCTTTGCATGTGGATGGCTCTGGGAAAACCACAGGACATTAAGCAAAAACCACATATTCCTCTCAGCTGAACACCATCTTGGACAGTTTGAGAATAACTCTTCAATTGCTAATACAGAGAATGTGATGGCCAAGAGTTCCTTGAGGCTGGGGATGTAGCTCTGGGGTGGAGCCCTAGCACTGGATATACAAAAGGAGAAATGGTGATCTAAGGTAGAGGAATGGTCAGTGAAATGCAGTAAACTCAGAGGCACATCAACTAGTCAAGATGGCTCAATCCCAATTTTATTGTGTAAATAAAAATGGATTTTACAATTTTAAATGGTTGAAAAAACAATAGCGCCATGATATTTGAAAATCATATGAAATACCAGCTTCAGTGTTCATGATAGAGTTTTGTTGGAATAGCCTTGATCAGTGCCTCACATTGGTCTATGCTTTTGTGCCAAATTGGCATGAAGCTGAGCAGGGATGGAGGTGAGAAGCTGCAGGTGGAGACGATGTGGGCCTTGAAGTCTATAACATTTTTCACTGCCCTTTACAAGATTTACTGGATGACTGTGTCAAAATCACAGCTACTTAAAAATCACTGCTACTTAAAATATTTAATTACCAGATAACTATTTATGATACAGAACTTAATGAAGTGGTAATGCTCATCTGTAAAGAAATTCAAGATGATCTCAAATAGTTTTATTTTCATTGCTTCATTTTGTTTGTTTTGCCTGGTAGAAATGTAAGCACCATGAAAGCAAACATATTGGACATATATTTATGTATGTATTTAACTTCAGATTCTAGAATAGTGCTTGACATGGAGTGGTTGCTTAGTAAACGGTAAAAGTCAGTTAAAGACAAATTATGAAACAGTATAATATAGTAATATGTAGTCATTAGAAGACATTTCCAGGGCATGCATTTGTACTAAATACCAAGCTGAGAGTTATGTTTTTAGTTTTCCCTGTCTTTAATTAACTAATATATCAAATGTGGAAATTTGACATATTAATGGAGTACCCTTGATGTTTTAGTTCACATCTATGTTGTGTAATGCTTAAATCACATTAAACTGTCACGTATGCCATTACACAATAGGTGACAATTGCCAACAGTTATGCACAATATTTTAAAAAAACAGAAGAAAGGATTCTGAATGTTTTCACAAGAAAGAAATGATAAAAATTTGAAGGGAAAATTTTCCATTAAACTGCATTATCCAGTTTAATCCTAGACTAGTTGGTGAAGATGCACTGTGGACTTGGTTTTATGCAAGAAGAAAGCAAGATTTAGACAGGTTGTAGAACTGGTCTGGCAATACGTGGCTGAGAAGTTACATGACTAGCTTTCAAAAGATCTTGGGTTCCAGAGTCTGAGCTCTTAACTATAAGCTACACTCATTTAATTCCTAAAATCCATTTATATATTCCAATGAGAGTAAAAGTTACAGGAAAATAGTGGAGGAAAAAATATAAACAACAAGAGCAATTATGGGTTATGGATGAGGTTACTTTTCTTGGCTACATGTTTTAGTCAGCACTGGCTAAAAGGAAGGGATTTACTCTTCCAGGAAAACACAAATGTTTCTAAAGGAAGGGGGAGATAGGCCAGAAAGCCTCGATTATTCAGGTAGATCAGTTCTTTGTGCTCAGAGCGCTTTGTGTGAATTGCTGTGGCAGCTGCACTGTCTTGTCTGTCCGGAGTATTGATCTGTGTAGCTGATGTTCAGTATCAGCGTTCAGCCTCCTCTCCCTGGGAATGCAAGGTGCTCTCTGTGTATCACTTCAGCGCAAAGACTCTGACAATTGGAGCTTCTTGGTGGTTATCTTCAACTGTCAGAGCTACACAGGTCTTTGAAAGCTGTGGTGTGTTTCTGTTCCTGTTTGCTTACACTTGCCTAAACCTGTCTTCTACCGCCTGATGGTCTGATTTTACCTGAAATTTGTTCTCTCTCTTTATGTAACTGGCGGAGTATTTCAGGTATAAGTATTCAGTGTGATCGTATATCCAAGGAAATAAATAAGTCCAAGATGCCCCAAAATCACTTAGTAAAGTAAAAAGAAATGCAAAAGAGGTAATATTACAAATAAAATCCTCCAATGATGGCTCATGTTTCTACTTCTCTCTTTCTGGATTCTGCCTATCAATGGCGTATTTTACATAATGCAAACTTTTCTACATGCCCTGGCCTAACTTCCAAGGTGAAAGAGAGAGCAGTTTTTCTTTTGAACAAAACCAAAACACAGTGATTAAAATAATTAAGTGAATGCTGTTAAAATTATGGAAGTGAGGGTAATACTACCTTCACAAATGTTTATAGAGATGACTGTTTTCTATAGATCTCAGCTTCACAAGAAAGCAGACAACTAATGTAGAAAAAAAAGTTCATAGGAAACTGAAGGAAGTTAAAGGTTGTGAACATTTGAGGCTATTCAAAAGGGATTTTAAAAATTTTGGAGACATGTCCGGACATCCCAGCCATAATTTCAGAGGCTTCTGCTGCTTAGGGCTGTGGAGGCTGGGTTAAGTGTACCTTTTCTCTTTCCCTAGAGTGTCACACTAATTTTTGACTTACAAGTGAAGCTCCCCACCTTTGTCTTCCTGTAACTTTATTTGGTGGAAGTAGACGTTGTCACTGTTGTGGGAGAAGCATCTTTACACGTGCAAGTGAGGAAAGGACACTCAGCTAAACACACTTACTGATTTTGGGTGTGGTAACCGATCCATTACCAAGGGCACAGCTAGGCATGCATGCTTTCTATAAAAAAGAAAAAAGTACTCTTCTTTTTTTTTTTTCTTTCTTTGGAGTTTATAGTGACCCATTAAGCCAAGCAATTTTACTTTGAGATTTGTGACTCCTAAAAATTCTCTTGCTTCCTGACATAGCATGGCCTCAGAAAGTCAGACAGTTGTTATTATAAATAAAGTAGCTCCACTCAGACATTAAATAGACAATTAAAAATGTCTGCGTTCTTTCCTTTTCTGTGGTGGCTGCTTTTAGATGTGCAATAAAACCACATTACTCAGAGGACGTTGTTATGGGTGGTGAGTAGCTGGTTCCTGCCGCATCTATGAAGTATCTTGTTTAAAAATGCTTTCATTGTTTAACAATAACTTTCCACTTTGTTAGATTTATAATAGGCGCATCCCTGAGGTATAAAATTACTAAAGCTTCACAAGACAGAGGGGCCCTGAAATAGGGCGTGATCCATTTGTGCCACCGGACAGGAGAGTTAGGCTAGAAAGAGTGTGTGACCCACCCAGACCCCATCGGGCAGTGTACAGCACACTGAGAAGAGGTCCTTCTGATTCCACAGGTGGCCGGCCCTGTCCTCTCATCCTCTGGGACTCATCTCTAGCTCCTGCCAGTAATGACACCCATTCTTCAGTTCAGCTCACCTGGGGAGCGTATCAGCGCTCCCTGAGTCAGAAGTGCTGGCTACATGGCCGGGTGCCCAGGCCTGAGTGTGACTGCCCAGAGATCCATCACTACGAGTGGTCCAAGCTGGCGCTCTTCGATTTCTTGCTACAGGTACGGTCCTCAAACCAAGTAAGTAGTTATGTGAGACCGAATCAGGTGAGTCTGACCACAAGGGCATTTCACCACTGGAGTTTTTATGAAGTCAGAGTTCAAGTTCTGTAATACTGGATGTGGCAAATGTTGTGTGGACATTCTTAGCTTTTTTAAGGAAGTAATCATGAATGTTACTCAGTGTTTTTATTAGTCTTGGAAGGAGTGATTTACTAACCATCTTGCAAATAGTTTAGCAATTTTTGAGCTATGAGAAATTGTCTTGCCCCATTTGGGAGGTAAATAAACTCAGGGTTGTTGGGGTTAAGTATCTTCTCTAAGTTCTCACAAATTCTAGAAGCTGGAGCTGGGATTCCTTGGGACCTATTGACTATAAAAGTTTGTCTTCTTTTCAACACCTTCCACTGGGTTTTAGGGGTCACTTGGCCATATAATTTATAGCCATATTTCCATTGTTTTGTTCCAGTGTTTTTTTCTTTGCCAAATTTTCATTAAGGAGAATAATACATGTTGATGAACTATGTAGTTAGGTGACTGTTGACATTTTTGCTTTTCTTACACCTCTTTCCTACACCTCTTCCCTCCATCCTATAAAGATCTCGCGACTCTCTACCTCTTCATTCGTTTTATGGTCTTTCACTTCCCTCACTTTAGAAAAACTTGCTTGCATTAATATCATCTAGAAATTTAGGTTCATTTTATGATATCTTAAAAGTCTCTCCTTGGGGTAGTTCATTTGTGTGTGTGTGACTAGAAGGATGAAAGTAGAGAGAGACAGAAATGTAGGGAGAAAACTAGTCTGTGCAGAGCCATAGGCTGAGAACCAAGCCTAGATGAAAGAGGGTGATTTCTGATGTTAGTGGTGTGGGGTGACCAGTCCAGGTGGGGGTGTGGTGGTCCCTGGATGGAATCGCCAGTTCTGCCCCTGTGGGAGCTGGTCTCATGTTCCGCAGGTGCACTAACTCATTCTCAGGGGGGTAGGGACCTTCTCTTCACTTTACGTGAGAGAAAATGAGGCATGGAGAGATTATGATCAAGAGTATGAAGATTTTGAGAGTTTTTCTTTTCTTGCCAGCTAACAAGGCAGCCTGCCATACAGACTGGAAGATTCCAGCAGAAGACACAAAACTCCTGGGTGGGAGGCAAATGATTTATTACACAGGGAAGGGCAAGTGCTATGAGCTTCGTATTCCCCTGACCATCCAGTTCCACTAGGTGATCAGCAGCACCCTGGAAACGCTTTGGATAATGTGTTTTCTCACTGACGCAGACCTTTAGCCTTAGGAGCCCTCAGTCTCATAAAGGACCTGATAGCAGGCTGCCCAACATTGACCTTGCAGTGATATAGAGTTGCTATCATCATGGTCAGGAAACGGGTCTGCTTTCAGGTGAAGAAACCACTCTGTATTTTCCAAAGCTGTTTGTTATACTAAGGTCTTTAAAAATAAGTGCAGAATAAAGGCTTAGTGGTAGGTAGAGCTCTTGCCTAGCAATGGTGCGATCCTGGAGGTGATCTCCAGCACAACCAATCAATAAAAATAAACTGGAAAACAGAACTTGCTATGAGATTTGCAGAAATACATGGAGGGTTAGTTCTCAACAGTTCTCTAGCTTGTTCAGGGTGACATAACCAGCAAGTTCCTAGGCAAAGACGTCAGCAAGTCTGGCTAACTCTATATTTAGTATTTTTAACCATGACTGTCTACCGCTAGCATGTTATCACTTGATTAATGGAACAAGTTAGTGTGATAAAGTGAAAGAATAAAATTTACAATGAATTACAAGTCTTGGGGTTAAGCAGACAAACAAGCTCACTGTGAAGTCAGGTTTTGGGGGAATGGTTATCAGGATGTTTAAATTCTTAAGGATGGCGACTGCTGGGTAGAGGAGAAATGTGTGAATTCAGCAGTAAAGTCTTTGAAAAAGGAATGTCCCTGAGGTTTGAGTTGGTTGGCGGAACAGGTAGCCTGTAATGGACAGAGGGAAAACCTATTACTCAACCAAAGAAATGGATTTATGCAGTATCTAGTGTATGTTAACAACAGAAATAACCCTAGGCATAAAAAAAAGTAGTATAGGATGATCATGCCTACTACCATACTCCATTTTTTTTCCTTTTACCCTTTTGTTGAGAAAATATAATACATGAAACAAAAGATTGCTCCACATGGGGAAGACCGGCTGAATATAACTTCTAATTGTTTTGAGATCTAAAGAACATTTTGCTATAATAGATAGTGGAGAAGGCATTGTTTGGGGAAGATTATAGTGTGTAATAAATAGGACAAGAAAATACACAAAGGGGGATAGGGAATTGGCAATGCTTATCTCTTATTTAAGACACCCTAAGTACATCATTCAATGCATGAAATTCACTTATGGGAATAGAGGCACTTCCTGCCTCTCAGCAGGGAGGTGGAACTAAAGGGCAGAGAGCTGTTTTCCCAGGATGAGTGTACTGCCCCGACTAAGCAAGTACAAATTCCACAGGAGCCATGGTCCTCCTGGCACATAATTTTATAATTTCATGGCTAAAGTACAGAAGTGCCTCTTTCCCTTTTCTTGCTAAACGTGGAACATACAAGGAAAACGTTTTTACTGAACTTATGGAAATTGATGGGGTCTTGTTTATGTCTTTCAGTTTTTCATTATAAGACAGTTAGCATCATATTTTCCAATATTTATTTTATTTTATTTTCAGTGAATTGCTTTTTCAAATCACTGCCATTTTTATTGCTTTTTAAAAACTTTCTCTAGTTGATTGACAAAGCCATTTTATATATCATGAAAATTAGTCTTTAGCAATTCATATGTGTATGTTAGTCAGTGTTTCATAACTATAACAAATACCCAGGAGATCCAACTTATGAAGAAAAAGGTTTATTTTTGCTCACAATTTTAAAGGTTTCAGTCCATGATTTTTTTTACCTCATTGCTTTGGGGCAGCAGAGAGGCAGAATATGGCCCAAGTATGGGAAAGCAAAGCAAAATAGGAAGCAAAAGAGAGAAAGAGAAATGATTTTAGTTTCACAACTTCTGCTAGCTGGAAGACCACCCACTGGATCCCACATCCTAAAAATTCTACCCGTTCCCTAGAGCACCCTCCAGGGGACAGAGCTTTCAATGCATGGGTCTTTGCAGGACATTACAGACCCAAATTATAGCTGTGACTCAAATAATACTACTGTCCTAATTTATGATTTTTTTACTGTTTATAGTAGATTTTACTCTAGAGGAATTTTACATTCTTACAGGGTCATGTCTTAATTGGTTCCTTAATTTCCTGTATTTAGCATCATAAGATGTTTGTATAGAAAGATGTAAACTGGAAAAAATATTTGCCATATACATGAATGAACAGACAGCTATCTTCATGAGTACGTAATAGTTGTTACTTTTTCCACAACAGTCTCATCAATTGCATTGAAAAACTTACTCAAATTCTCAAATATTCCTTACTTAAATGGTATTCAGGGGACATCTTCCACAGATTTGGGGGAACAGACACCCAAAGTGTGCCTGGAGCACACTAAGCTCACTTGCCCTGTGACACTCAGCAAAAGCGAGGGAATACAGGGTACAGTATTAAGTTTTCTGTGTGCATCACCAACCTTGTTTCACCTCGTTAACAAATCTGCATTCACAAAGGCAAGACCTCTCCCCACAGTTCAGGAAAGGCAGAGGAGTCAGCGCCATGGGTTTGCCTACTATGGGATGTAAACTGCGCGGTTCAAAAGTCAGCACTATTAGAATAACGAAGAGAAGTATTCTAGAGAGCATGTGAGTTTCTAAGATTTGTTCAAATGTCTCCCAAAAGATTTTATGAAATAACAGCAGCAAATGCAGAATGTGGGAAGCTTCTCTTCTGACCTGAGAGTTACCACAGTAGAGCGGGTAGGAAGTGAGACCTCAGAGCCAGGTTGCAGCATGTGAGTCCCAGCTCCACTGCTGGAAACAGCTTCACCCCCCCCCATCCCTGCTTTCTTCATCTGCAAAACAGTGCAATTTCAATGTGTGCAGAGAGAGCCGGTATTAGATCTTTTTGTACACGGAAGCATTTAAGATGTCTGACATACGAGGTTGTTAGTGTTCCCTGTTCATTAAGCAAATTGACCATTTAGATGTAGAAGTAAATGCGAAGCAGGTAACGCATATTATCATTCATTTTATTGATCAAATCGCATATAATCCCAGACTAATTCATTGCTGTGTGTTCCTACAGACTTCTGTACTCCTCCAGGTCCTAGGCTATTAAGGTTTAATTATTTTTGACTGCTCTCTCTCCCCCAATGAGCAGTAAATGTCTCAAGGCCAAGTCCTTGTCTTATTTAACTTTGTGAGCTTTCTGTTAGCTGCAGAATGTCTGGAAATGTCACAGGTACTTAGGGCATTGGTTTTTGATTAAAAAACCCTACCTAGCTATATTAAAATATTAAATACAAAGGGTCAAATTACAGCTGCTAAAAGAGAGAGAAAGAAACTAAAAGCATTAAGTGAATAGAAAAGTTTACTTTGGGGGTGAGTCCTTCGTGCATTTAATTTTTCCATGAATAGCTATTGCTTCAGTGAGAAATTAATTTTTTTTCACAGAGGGGAATAGCAAAGCTGTGCACTGGGAGATACTCCCATCACTAACAAAAACCCAAAGTCACACATTTCTTTCCACTTGAAATTCACAGATTTTTGTGACCTCATCACTAACAAAAACCCAAAGTCACACATTTCTTTCCACTTGAAATTCACAGATTTTTGTGACCTCATGTCTGTTTTGAACACTGAGCAGGTGCATAGCTGGTGGCTAAAAGCTCAGCTGAAAGCATTTCTCTTTCCTCAAGACTTTCCCAATCTGGGATGAGAGACAGGTGATCACAGCAGATTATGGCAAGTTCCGTAACTGATGTAACTGAGCTTAAAATCCTGCCGGAGAAAGTCAAGCCTAGCAATCCATGCAGAATCAGAGCTTACAGGGCGTGACATTTAACCTGGAAGTGGAAAATCCT